GAGTTTGGTCTCTATTATTCTTTCTTGATCACTTTTTTTGAATATAACCATAAATACTTTTAAGAATGAATTCAAATCATAAAAAAATAGTGAATCTTTTCTATCAAAAGTGTAAACCAAAAAAGAGTTTTTTTAGATAAAAATATACTTATGAATCTAATTCGAATAAATCCATCAAGATATTAGAAAGGATGCAACTTTAGATAGAACTTGACTTGTTGCAAAAATCCTCAAAAATTTGATCTTGTTCCATCAAACTTCTTGAGCATACTAATCCTTGTCCCTATTATACTTGTAGAAGCAAAACTTCTTGAATTTGGTTATGAGGTTGATTTACTTGCTTCCTTCAACTATATAACTTTTCGATATAGACTCTGAACTTCTTCCATAGGTGTAGGATTAGTGTTTCTTTAGTTGGTACTAGTGATCCATGAAATTTTAATCCTAAGAGTATTAACAAGTTCATGAAGATCTGCAACAATTATAACTCTATTTCTACTTCTGCCAAATATAACATCTATAATTTTTCCTTCCATTTCAAACAACTTGATAAATCTACAAGTCAAATTAGAGGAGGATAATTTATAACCTTTGATGTCAAATGAAAATTTCTACAAAGAGGATTATTCCACTTTCTTTAAAAAAAAATCAGTATTAAAAAACAAAATAATTTATTTAAAGGTGGATGGTTTACAACCTTCAAAATAAAATAATAAAAGTGGGATAGTCTACTCACTTCAAAAATAAGACAAGAATAATAAGTTAGAATACTTGTCAAATTGTCAAGGAGATGAACCTCAAAGAACTAAAATATCAATACATTCTTATGTCACTTGAAAAGACTAGAAAATCACTCAAAGATGATATAATATTAAACTAAAATGGCTATTGTTGAAGACAAAAAGATTAGGAAGTCTTCAAATAAGACTAAAGACTAAAAAGATATTGATAAGAATGAAAAAGACTTTATTCTTGCTTCTATATATATTTTTAACTATGAGCTATGTAGTGATGTCTTACAGGGCCTCTAAAACATGTTGACTTTATAAAACATGTATCTTAACTTATAAGGCAAGTTTTTTATATGTGGGCCACATAGTTAGCTTATTTCATAAGCTATCAACATAAAATTAACTTGTTGATCAAGTTTCTAACCTACCTATAAACTACAAACACATATAAAGTCAAAGTAGCTTCTATGAAGCTTTTAGAAAGCTCCTTTAGAAAATATTAGAAAATAAATCTACTTTTATCTACTTCTACGTAATCATATAGGAAAATGTTAGAGTAAATATGTATGTCTGTGACACTTTGTAAGAAAAATGATTAATTTAGACTATTTAGATAAAAGCTAATATAATGCATTTTAATCTTTATGCATATTTCAATGGAATTGTTTCATATGGATAGGTAGCAAAAAAGAAAAAAAAAAGAAAGAAAAAAAAGCAAAAAAAACCATACACTATATTTTAAGCAATTATATTTGATAGTATTTAGTATATAATTAAAAATTTAATAATATCTAGTATCTAATTAAATATTTGATAGTATCTAATATCTAATTATATATTTGATAGTATCTAAAAGATATTTGTATTCACAAGAAAATTTAAAAACAAAATAACTTAAATTTTTTCATTTGAAATATGTTCTAATTAACAACATATTCTATTTTTTGTAAGAAATTTTTTTAAATGTAAAATAATAGTTATTATAATAAATAATTGAATCATTATTATTTTTTATTAAAAAATAACAAAAAATATCCTTTGATATAATTTTTATATATATTTCTAAAATTAATAAATTTTATAAGGATTTTTTTTCTTAAAGATAATACCATCCTATCTATTTTTTTAGACTTTAATTTAAAATACTAATTACCAATTCTTTATAGAATTAATATTGTTGGAATAAAAATCTTTCTATTATTACCTAGATAAGTCCTTTGAATTAGATTTTTTTAATTCTTATTAATATCTTATAAGTATTTACTAAATTTATTTTTATAAAATAGCACATATTTTATAATACATTGGTAAAATTCTAATTTTATTTCTGTTATAATAATAAAATGAAAAGCTTCAAACTATTTTTTACATATTGATATAAAGTTATAATTTTATAAATCACAATTTTAATTACATTTTCACTTTGTACTTTTGAGCACGTAGACTCTTTGTATTCTTGTATTCTACTTACATTTAGTTTTCTTTTTATACATCTTATAATGTAATATAATTGGTTAAATAATCTACTTAGTTTAATTAATATGTAGATAGGATGTTAAGTTTCTCTATTTAAAAAAAATATAAAAATAAATATTCTAATTTATTTATTTTTTAAAATAATTATTTTAAGATTATTTTAAAACTTAGTTGAGAATCTAAAAGCACAACATATACAAAACTTTAATGAACTTATAAATACTAAAGATGTTTTAGAATATGAAGTGTAATCTATAGAAAGAAATATATCATCATTTTAGATCTAATAATAAAAAATAATATTACATCACAAAATTTAATTTTTTATATTTCATTTTTAGATATAAAAATAACATATGTAGTAATCTCCAATGTCTTCTTTTTACTAAGAATATTGGAAAATATTATAGTGTATGATAAACTAAAGGTATTTTAAATCAATTAAAAATACTAGTTTACATTGTTACATTGAAAGTAAGACCACGACATTGACCTTCAAGGAATGTCCTATAAAAGATGTATTTAATTATGTATTTAATTATGTATTTAATTATGTATTTAATTTTACTATAATCTTCTTTGTTATTTAATAGAATAATTTTGGCATCAAAATAAAAATAATAATAACAATAAATATCAAGTTTTTTTGCTAATTAACCAAAGAGTTCTATTGAGCTATTCTAACATATAATTTGACTGAGGTATACTGATATATATATATATATATATATATATTAAAACTAGACATATTATTAATTTTATAAATTTATAAATAAATATTTATAATAAAATATTTATTAAAAGATAAAAAATCTACACCAAAGATGTCTTTCTAATTAGACTCTTCATTGATTATTTTTTAAATGATCCTTGTTCATTAATTATAACAAAAGATTAGAAAATTTAAGAAAGATATTTAATAAATCATGATGATTTAGAATTTTATTCAATACATTTTAATAATTTAATGTGGAGTTAGAAGTACATAAAGAATCATGTGAAAGTTGCTCATTCTACAAATAATGACATACATATCAAAACTATGATTGACTAATTTTTTTTTCAACAGTAATAACTTCAAGCAAATAAGTGTCATAATAATGGAAATAAAAATAAAATATATAAAATAAATACAAATTTTTAAAGCCAAATATAATAATAATTATAAAATCATTACTTATACTATACAAGTCTTCAAAAAAACCATGTGTTGGACTATTTATAATTTAAAAAAAAAAATCATACCATAACTTATTAAGATGATGCAATTAGTCTCTATCAAGTTTACCATTATCTTTATTATATAATAAAAATGAAATTTATTAAGTATTTTATAGAATCAATAATATGAAAAACTATCTATTTTATTTTTAATTATTTTTTTTAAAATATTATTTAAGTTGTAGCTACAACTTGTTGATAGATTAAAAAGAAGATTCATGCATCAATAGACTTTCAATAATTGATTAATAAGGATTATTCAATCCTCTAATAAAAAAATATAATATTTATTATTATTTTTATATTTGCAAGAATATAAAGGCACATTTCAATTAGAGTAGATGCAATATTAACTATAATAATAAGATGAGTGAATCAAAACAATCTTCTTAATCTAACACCCTTTTAAATATTTCTAACAATATTTTAAACAGTTCTTCTTTTAAGACCTTAATAAGATATTTTATAAAAGATTATTGTGCATAATAATGAATTTGATAGAAGAACCTTTGTTTAGAACAATATTACTTTCATCTTAGGATCAAAAAGCACAATCTTTGTAATTCATTCTAAAATTATGTATATAAGAACTAATGTTCATTGTGATAATATGAATATTAATTTTTATTCTAAAACTTAATAAATTTGGATTTTTTATTCATTTTTTTTTATGATCAAAGTTGCAAATCAAGTTATTATTTTCGAAATTAAAATTTTCAACAATCAATAATACTAAAAATTATTTACTTTTATTTTTATTTTTATGAAAACATTAAAATTATCCAACATATTATAAAGTTATCAAAGAAACAAGCAATTTTTTCTTTTTAATTCTAATAGTGCACCCATAGAGTTGGTACACTAGAATTGGAGACAAGGGTTAAGATTGTGCCTGCTTTATAAATGACGTGAAGAATATGGGAAAATGATTTTGAGAATCTTTTGTCATGTAAAACCTAATGAGTCAAACACAAATATCACATTGTAAAAGAAGACGCAATAGCAGAACATTCTCATCACAACATTGTTAACATTGCTACGAATCATCATTCACAATATCTAACAGTCACTCACAATATCTGTTGTAATTGTTTCCCGATCATGCGATTTCAACTTGTTGAAAAATCGGACATCTATCATTTTTTAATGAATACACCCCAGGATTTATTAGAGTAGTTCTCACGTCCAAACAATTGGTAGCAGTGCTGCATGCATGAATCATGCTTTCTTGATGAACATGGTAGCACAGTTTAAGATCCATTTTACGTGTTTGACTTTGATGGTTCACAACCCAATTGCTTTTGTACGTCTCTACTTTCGCATAAACAAACAGATAATTATCACACAACCGGGAAACAGTCAAGCTTGTGCACATCAACTTCTTTGGGGTTGAGACCATTCCACAACAGCATCAAAATAACCGAATGTTTCGGGATGAAGCGCTATGAAAGAACGTCATTTTCTGAGTTTCTGATAAGGAAATTCACAAAACCTACAACTTGAAGTAATCGGGGGTGGTCACCGACCACGCAAACATGTCGAACAGGAAACCGAGTCAACGCCACAAGCCACTGGAAGAAGGGAGATTGGATTCCAACCCATCAGATTCAGTTTTCGGTAAGATTCATGTCACGATGACGCGGCGTAAATATTGCATTGTACTGAGCGGAACAAAATAGTCCACAGATGCCACATAGCCTCTCTTCAGGTGAAACTGCGGTGGGCTCCGCAGACTGCCTGCTGTTGCTGCTACACTCGCAGGCTCCACATCGAAGTTTGAATGCGTCCTGGGAGTGTGTGCTACTTCAATATATAACGCAACCCTACCAGCTCTTATTTCAACAATGTTAAACTGCCCCATGGGACTCAAACCCTCCGAATAATAGAAGTAATTTCTTGCTCCAGTGCGTATCATCTCTACATGAACTGGTGGAGTGGTTGTGTTCGGCTTAGCGAAGGGAAAACCAAGCGCAGTGAGCGCATTTACTAATAGAGCCCACTGTGGCTAGATAAATAAAAACACGGCGAGGCCTATCACGAAAAAACAAAGAGAGGAAAAGGGAAAGAGTTTTATAATTGGAAACTCGCATCCTCAACCGATCAAGTCTCAGTCCGTAGCCTTGGAAGGCAGCTTCGTTTTTCTCACGTCCTCGCCCTTCATAACGCCCTGGCCACCGAAGGGTTTTTAACGCAACAGAGGTCACTTGTGGGTTCATTGACGAAACATTCCTCGGGACTGAGTGGAGGATGTTGGTTGAAATGGAACGGATGTGGGCAGTCACTATGAATCTCCGACAAGTGAACTGTGCTTTCTCTTCCGCTCCTTCTTTTGCAGCCAGTGGAACCAGGTGATAAGCTCCAGGACGAATGCGACCAGCCCTATGACTATGAGAATGGTGATGTACACGCGTTTCCAGTTATCTGCACCCAACAGATCGATGCCTTCGAAAATGTTGATGATGGCCAGGATGATGATTGCAAATCCAGTGACGTGATGGATTGCGTTCCACAAAGGCCGGTGCTTGGTTTTGGGCTTAGGTCTCAACAGAATCGCTGCCAATACCTGTACCAACAAGATGTTTGAGCCCACGAATTGGCCTACAATTCATGCAAAACATCCGCGACCAGTAGATATCTAATCAATCTATCCAAGGATATCTCGGTGCACGAGCATGCACAAACATTCTCAGCGACCAGGTGTAGATCGACATAAGAATCACGCTGACGGAAATCAAAATAACAGAAGGTTGGGAAACGAATTGGTTTAGTACCTGGAAAGTGGCTAACGCCCAGATTGAGATGCCAAGGTTGCGATGATAGTACTTGATAGGATTGGCAAACTTCTGGAGCCGCAAACCCAGCACCCATCCTGCTGTCCCGCCAGCGTAGCCGGTAACCTGACAGAACACGTGAAGATAGAACCAGGCAGGGTCTGCAAATTCAAATGGGCGCAAGTACCGCGCTGCCATGATCCCAATCGGAAGCAGAATTCCCCACGAAATCGCATTGATAATACCATGAATCTGTAAAGAACAAAAGAAAATGATTAAAAGAACTCGCCGATCCAAATCATACATTAGAAATGCGTTTCAATTAGAACTCCCAGAGAGTGCTAGTGTAACTCCGATGGCTTGGACCAACAACCGAATTCATTGTGTCAGACTGTGAATGTCACGCTTACATCTTTGAGCCGTTTGTTGGGAATTTCCCCTCCGCCAAGTGTCTGGCCAGTCCCCATATCGATCACCAACGTGCTTCTGAGATTATCGGCATTTGTGAGCGAGTGGCTCCTTAATGCGGCAGTTGCAACATCCACTTCAGAGCCTCGGTTCCACACGACATTGAACGAAGTGAGCTGTCCTGATTTCAGTAGCACAGTGCCTGTGATTGTAGCGGTGGTGCCAACCACGACGGCTGAGTAGTTAGAGTAGGCGACAGATACTGTGCCTGGAACCAAGGGGACTCCGCCCTTCACTGCGCCGTTAACATTGTAGGTTCGAATTGAGACACCCGTGTTGTTGGAGAACGCCGCCAGCGCTTGAGTTCCCACCATTTGGGCTCCGTCGGGGTTGATCCCCCAAGCCACCCAACCAGACGCACTTTCAAGGTCCTCTGCAAAGAAGAAGTTAAAGGCATTCTCCCAGTGGTTAAGTCCCAGTTTCGATACTTATCTGAACTGAAGAAAGCTCTCTAATAGCTAGTGAATTGAACATACCTGTGAAAGCAAAGTCGATGGAGTTGGAGGAATTGTTGTAGGTAAAAGCGAGGGAAGCACCCAGAGCGGGGAGGAGCGTGCACGCGTCATAGACCTTGTCTGTGATCCCCTTGCCGCATTGGTATGTACACGATGCTTCTTGTAAGAGACACAAGATGGCTACCACAACGATCCATGCCCATGTCGACGACATGGTGGCGCACGCCCGCAGGCTCCTCCCGTCTAGAGATTGTCTTTAAAACCCTATATCTAAGATCAAAACCTCTTCAATAACTCCATGAGAGATGTATAAACTTTCCTGGAGTGACAAGTATGTGATGTTGATGTGAAAGCTCCGTCCTGCATTCTCTGCAATTCAAAAATCCACTGCTTTAACTGGCGATACATAATTCGCAACCTTCCATAACCATTTTAGAATTTAATAGACATTCGGGCTAGGGTAACCTTCATAAACACTGGCTGACTTAAGCCTTGTAGATACGCAACTACCCCCTCTGAGAAACTACTCGACGCTATCGTGCAGTACGCTAGCATGCATCCGCCCCATCCCAACAGGAGGGGAAGTGAGGAGGAACGAAGGCTCACAAGTTGCTGTCGAAAGATGAGGGCACATGAAAATCCTCTGATGGCACAGGCCCTCACTGGAGAATACGAGATTACTTCTCATAGCAGCACAAAAAAACGTGGTCTAAAAGACTGGAATTCTTTCTTTACCTACAGTTAACGTCAGCTATCTGCGGCACTTGATCACCAATTCGAACCAAGCTATAATTAAACTGTAGTACCAAATCGGTTTTCGTCAAATCAAAACCTTTCGAAATTTCCAGCGAACACTTTGGAGGGAACGGGGATATTCGCAACGAGAACAAGTACACATCGAGTATTTTACACAATCAATGCGTTGCTCACTGCGCTACATTCTGCTCGGACTCTGCTCTTGAACCAAAATAGAACTTCTCCGGAGGTACTATAGCTCGGCTGCAAGCTCGAATCTCCGAAGCTATAAACCTTCATTGATGTTCCGACACTTTCATTCAGTTCATATATGACTGCTTGCAGATTCTCCACGCTCATTGCCAACTAGATGACGCCAAACACTGCGCACCTTCACGCCAAGCATGAGGGGCATCGTCTACAATCACTCATGCCCCCTCAGGAGAAAAGCAAGCGGTTCCGAAATGGTCAGGACACACGACGCTGACAGAGGCCGGAGGTTGAAGCCTTGACACTCTCAACAGGCAACAACTGATAGTCGAATACGCAATATGGTAACCTGAGGGATTTTTCGTTAACCGATTGTACCGTGCTCCAGGTACAGGTCCAAGACTTCGGTAGATTCAGTATCGGTAGATGGCCTTTGAGACTTATCTTCAACAACGGCTCGGAAGCTAGTAGCGAGATCCCCCAGTTGCGCCAGGCCCCATGGATCCAGTTGGTAGGGACCTAGACAAACGTTGAGGTGGTCCGTTACCGGCGGTCGTTTTGTGGTTCAAAATTCGAAACTTCGTCCACTTTTCCTGTCCTGGTTACGCCCGGAGGTACCTAGTAAGGATTCAATTGCATGTTCTCTCCCTTTTTATCTCAGTGAGTAGGTCACAGAAAGAAGGAAAGAAAGAAAGATAACAAACAAACCCCCGTTCATGGTGGAGCCCCATAACCCGCGTGAGAAGCAAGTTGCATCCGAAGCATTCTTTCTAAATGTAAGCTTCACTGGGAAAATCGCTAGAAGCATTTGCTACTCGTGCTCATCTGGTGCCCCTAAATTTGTTTTTTTTATCATTCTCTAATGACTGGATGACTCGTTCGTTTTCCAATTTACCTGGTAACAACCCTCGTAATATCCAAGCCGTGGGAAATGCGAATGTTGTAAAGAATCGTGTAGAGAGAAAATTCAATTCTGGCACATCTGAAATTCCGGGTATTGGAAGTATTTCCAGTACCGCCTGATCAAAGTTGCAATAAAACATACTGCATTCAATACATTTTTTTGAAGGTGAAACCAAAGGTCGACGTGGACACGAATAAAGCATCCAATAGCAAATCTGAGGTACTTCGTGACAGGCGTGCTTACAGTTGATACGACCTCAACTTCAACACATCTGAGATTACGCGTTTAAGAAGCCTCAAGAAAAACTGAAAATTGGGTTTTCGTTTTGAGATTGTGTGCATGACCTGCACTCGAATTACGGTGCTCAGTGTGGTTCGATAATAGCATGTACTGCATTGATGAAGATAGTTCAAGTTCGTGGTAAAGTACTTTTGCACAATGCGTCGAAGTGAGAGCTCTCAACTCCCTGCGAAAATTATGACGAAGTGCTCTTTCAACACCTAATCGCCGTGTGTCGCAATAATAGATGACGCAAACACTGCGCATTGCGTTCGCGCCAGCTAGAAAACTTCACCCTGAAACAAAATAACAAAAAAGAGAGAAAATCTTAGCCAACACGGCAACCAAAGCAACTGCAACGTGTCTGTCAAAATTTCCTGCAACGTAGACCCGTTCCACACCATCAGCGCTCCTCTCGTTTCGAGCTATTTTTAGTCCATAGCTAAAGTTCCTGGTTCTTGCGTACACGCTGCCAGCACACACACAATTACGGTAAAATTTACCATGTTTCCATGAACTCCCCGAATATCTCATGCATACATTCTCCCACACAAACCGTCTCGTTCTCTCATCCCCCCCTGCAGTGCCTTCTAAAATCGGCGACGTGAGGGATTCAAAGTGGGGGCGAAAAACTGGGTGTGAAACTTAATAAGAACCCCAGTAAAACAGTCTAGAATTACTATTTCGCACGATTAGTAGAAAAATGGTAAGAATTCGAAGGAAGAAACAGGATTCCATGTCCAGTTCAGCAATTCGGCGTTTCGGAGATCACGTTTCTATTGTGCAGCTTCAAGAGTATTGCTATATCTGTCTCCGCACGTGCTCCGCAAGAGCGCGTGATCTCGGTTGTCGATCTCAGAGGCCTCGTACTCAACACGATTGCCGGTTAAATGACCTCGTGGTTTGTCTTTCTCTGTCTTGAACGGCGTTCCGCCGATTTGCGACAGCAACGACAGCGTTGAAGGCCTGGAAATGTAGCAAAAGCAGCAGCAGCAGCAGCTGTTCTGCACCGTTGTCTACATTGAGTTTAATGCATTGATAGAATTTGGACCTACATTCTATGAATAAAGGTTTGATTGCGCTCTTTTGACAACAGTGCATTGAGTCCCACTATGATATTTTGCTCAACAATTTCTGTGCATGGAGTTTAAGCAGTACCATGGAAGTAGCTTTTGTCGTAATCTGTACTGAGCAAATATCAACAGTCAGAGCGGGATGCCAGGAATTATTGAAGTGGTATAGCTACCGATGAACTACTCCAAACTAGGTAACAGGGCGGATTAGTGTCAATAATATAGTATAGCACATTTTGAACGCAGGTTCATCTAGATTACTTGGGAAGGTCCAAATTTCATCCTTTGTGCCTGTAGACTTTGGTACACCAATGGAGATGAGAATAGTGAATGAGCCCATTGGTAGTCTAAGAAAAATGAAGGTGACGTGTCCAAGTAAAAACATTAGGATTCAAAACAATACATAATATCTAGAAGTCAACATCCTTGAAACAATGTTTAATGACTGCCAATATCTAAGCTTAAATTAGGACTTTTATCAAAAGAGTGGCTCCCTTTTACTACACCAATCATAGTTTTCAATATTTTCTATTTTTTAAGAGATTTTAGTTCATTTATGTTGAGCAGGGTTCTAAAGAAGATGACCCATTCCCAACCATTTAAGCAATTTGTCATGTCTACATAGACTATATATGGGCAATAAAATTTTGAAATGGAGTACCAAATACAAACTATGTGCTTTGCATGAGTTGTGAATTGTATGGTATAACTTATCAATCATTGTATGGCAAGAACAAAGTTGAAAGGGTGGCCTAAAGTTTTGTCTCCTCTCTACATTCCTTGCTAGAGATTAAGGTACTTTAGTATTGTATCATTTCTGCAATTTCTTTGCAACATAGAATGCGCAAGCCTTAGCCTATAGGGCTTACTTCTAAAAATGTAGAAGAATTGTGTTACTACCTTTATTGTGTTAATATAGACCAAAACCAAAAACCATTCTCTTTGATTTAAAATAGTGAGATATATCTAACGAGCATTTCTTTGAGCTAAGAAAATTATATGATTGTTTCTTTTTGCTTATATATATGAACTTGTCACAATTCTATATCCTATTTGGAGGATAACTATGCAAGATATATAACTCACTTAAATTATTATAGAAACTATGTATATTTTCATTACATAGCATATTTGTTCTAAAAGATGCAAAGGCTTATATCACCTTCAACGAGAGATTTGAGTGACAGTGTCTAAATCAACTCAACCATTTGTCATTCGAGATCTAGTTTTTAGATCACATCTATCAAATCCTAGTTATTTCAAAAACTTTAATTTTCAAAGTTGTAAGACTTAGACTTAAGCCCTTATTACATATTGTCAAGGATATCAATTTCAAAAAAAGAATATCTCAATACATATATGAATATCTCAATGTATAGTTAGCTTGTTCCACAAGATATCAATACGTTATCATGTTGTGATTTAGCTATCATGCAAAAATAATGTATTTATACATTTTATACACAATATACTGGATAACATGGTGAAAGCCATGTTAGTAGATTTTTATTGGTTGTAGGATGTAGATAGATTATAACTTCAAAAAGAGATAGTTTAAAAGGGTTTCTATTAGAATTTATATAACTTTATTTCCTTTTGATAGTGACTTTGATGTTGATCTTATTAGTAGTGAGTTTAAAATATCTAGAGTCACCTTTGTTAGATATTGGTGACCTTTAAAGTCTTATTTTGTTTCTTTAATATAGTATTTCGGAAATATATTTAGTAGTAAATCTTGTAAAGAGAAGAGTTGGAGAAGGGTTTTGGTAGCAAAAAGAGAGTTTAGGGCATCCATATAAATGAATGGAGATGGATGATGAAAATCTCTATTCCTATTGGTCAAATTCATGACCAATGGACTTCAAGGAGGCTGCCCGAGGCCATATTAGAGATTAGGGTTAGTTTTTCGAGGGCATTTGAGCTTTAGAGACTAGAATTAAAAAGTTTAGGTTTTTTGCTATGGTTTTGGTGCAAATTTTGAGTCATTTGGAGTTTATATGAAAGACATATGGACTCTCAAAGTTAGGGTGTTGACTTTGTATCCACTATCACTCTTTTGGATATAACGGATACGTACAAAAAACAACAAAAGATCGGCAACTAGGGTTGGAGAGAACACTTTCTTGATTATACTTTATATATATTGCTTGATGAATTCTAAGCTAGGATGAAGGAGTTATTGGGAGTTGAAGTTAGCATTTGGAATCTAAGGAGTTGTAAGTGACCTAAATTGCTAGTAGTTGTGTTTTGAGCTATATCTTGTGCAATTTGATAAGATTTTGGCTAAGAATTTCTAAAAATATGTGTTTTTATATTGCTAAACTTTATACATAAATTTTATGATATTTGGATTTTGTGTTTGTGAGATATGAAGAAAATAGCACTTAGGTGTTTATTAATTAGGGTTTTAGAGCACCTACTAGGATTTTTAAGATGCCAAACGATCGGTAGTGAATTTATAGTTGAATTTTTGTAAAATAAAGCTTAAGGATGAAATCTATATTATCCGTGAATTTGGCAAAATTTGAACAGTTGGATCAAGAGATATGAATTTCTAAAGTTCGAGAAGAAGAAATCTTTTACGGAAATATTATATTTTGAAGGGATTTTATTATAACTTGAGCATTTTATACAAAGTAAAGGAGTATTTTGAGATCCAAGACTTTATATATATGTTGAAAATAGATATATAGAGCTATAGTCGAATTCTTGTATAAAGATGAGTTTTTGAGAAGAGATTGTGGATTTCTTTTGAAGTTATTGAAAACCTATTCTACCAGCAAATGGTTAGCTATGATTTGGTATAGCCAAGAATATTAGAAAATTTCTAGATATTTTAGAAATCTTTATATACAAACCTTCTTAAATATCAAAGGGTTTATTAGTATAATATCTTTTTGATATTGGAGTATTTATTTATCTTCTATTTTTAAGTTTAAATAACTTATTGGAGCTTGGTCAATAAGTTGAAGCTAAACTCTCTACAGCTAGGTACCAAGTATATTCTCAAATAGAAAACCATACGATAATGTGTGACATGTGGTTAATTCGTTGACTAAGTTTCTAACCTTCTAATTAAT